AAACAAATGCAAAAGCATCCCTATGACTCCAAGGGTGACACACACACACACACACACGCGGGCAAGCGCTTTTACAGGTTTCGCGCAAGGCGTTTGGTTTGCGCAAGGCGTAGTTAAGCTTCATATTGATATTGTATCAGTGCTGGAATGAGAGACTGTATGACTCACAGACTTTAGATGAAGTGTTTGTTCATGATTCAACCTATATATCAGTAATATGTTGGTTGTTTCTTATGTGCACTTTGCTTGTTGAGACGGATGTAAACGAAGAGCGTTTTCTCTCTTGTTGGCACTGCGTTTGGGGGGAGACGTCCTCTCAAAATACGTGGTTTTCGCGCACGTCCATTCAGCGGTCTCGTCTCCTGTGCCACATGACTTCCTCGCGACAAAATGTCCGCTCAGCTTGCTGAGACAGAAGAAGCAATCTGATCCCTGTTGCTCGGTGCAAACCCCATTGTGAGCCTATGCTGAAAAGGTTTTGAGTGAACAGGCATGGCAGAAGATACTGGAACGAAGCTCACATGCCAAAGAACCTTCTCTGGAGCTCTGCCAAGTGCACGACGATCGTTCGAAAGGCTTTCTACAAAGACAAAACAGCTTTGCAAGCGAGCAGTCAAAAGGAAACACCTCGAGCTTCAGAAGCTGACATGCCACAAGGGTTCACTCAAGTTCCTCGTCCAAAAAAGGCGATTCTGCTTAGAACGTCCCAAAAATGGTCTCATTCGCATGCCTGCAAGGGTTCATTTTTCAAAGCGGCATACACCACGCAGGCCAAGACACAAAATAGCACCACCTGTTTTAGCGCAAGCTGCAAGCAAATGTTGAAGATAAGCCGCCGCGGAAGTTCCCCACTGTCGTCGCGCAAGGTTTTCGCGCAAGAGTCAACAATTTTCTTTTTTACTCTCCCTATCTCTCCCTGGAACTAACATGGAAGTGGAATACCACCTGTTTGTAGTGGAAAATGGTCTTCCTTTCGGGGCCATTCTCCACTTCCATGTTAGTTTCCAGGGAGTTTTTATCGTCTACAGACTGAGGTTTTGAACACCTCAGCGGAAGATCGTGGACTGTTCAGAGATGTGTGAACGATCCCCTTTGAGAAACGGTTAGAAGATCGACCGTGGATCAACATGGGGTGCGTGCGCAGATTGAATTTCGGTGCCTGGTTCTTTGACATGTCATATTGTCGTCTGTGCCACAGGACATGATGTTGACTTGAAGTCTTTCGTGTTGGATAGTGCTGCAGTGTATGTGGGCGGCATTCCTATCGCCCCTTTCGTTGGTAGGCTACCACGAAGACCTGGACTGAGTTCCGAGGGAAAGCGGCGAAAAGGAGACCGACATGGCGACATAGCGCAGAAAACTGACATGCCTTTCATCATAGGGTCCTGGTTGAAACATGAACAACATTCATTATTTTCCCTGCGATTCTGCGATGGTCTACCTGCTTTCTCCCTACCCCCACCGAATCTCCTCTGAATGGCTGATTGCAGATAAGCCTGAACTCAGAGTCAAGAGAAAGAAAAGAGTCGAATGAATTTGGTTCATCATGGTGACATAGCGTCAAATTTTGTTGCTGCTTAAGCCTACACTTGAGCTGAACTTCGGGAATTGAATGTTGCCGAGTTATTTTGGCATCGATTGATGGCATGTCCCTTTCTTTTGCTCAAGTCGGCTTACATTTCAGCCCCCAGCACCACCAGTCAGGGCCTTTAGCAAGAAATTTTCACATTTCAACATGTGTCTAAATGCTGCCATAGGGCATAGCACTTATTTTGAAAGCTTTCCTGTTGGCTGAGGCCTGCAAGATGGGAGGAGACGGTGGATTTGGCAAAGGCGGTTTTGGAGACAAAGGAAAGGGAAAAGGCAAGAAGGGCAAGGGAAAGGGCAAGGGCAAGGGAAAGCAGGAAGAGAAGCAATGGGTGCCCATGACAAAGCTGGGACGCTTGGTGAATGATGGCAAGATCACTCAGTTGGAGGACATCTACCTGCACTCTTTGCCCATCAAGGAGCCCGAGATCATTGACCACTTCTACCCCCCTGGCTCGTTGAAGGACGAGGTGCTGAAGATCCACCCCGTGCAGAAAATGACTTCTGCGGGTCAGACCAACCGCTTTGTGTGCTATGTCCTTGTGGGTGACACGAATGGCCACATTGGCTTGGGTTCCAAGTGTGCCAAGGAGGTTGCCACGGCCATTCGAGGTGGTATCATTGCGGCAAAAATGAACCTGATCCCTGTCCGTCGTGGCTTCTGGGGTAACAGGATTGGTCTGCCCCACACAGTTCCCATGAAGGTCCATGGCAAGTGCGGTTCAGTGCGAGCCCGCTTGATCCCTGCCCCTCGAGGCTCTGGCATTGTCGGCTCCCCAGTCATGAAGAAGATGATGGCCTTCGCTGGCATTTCTGATTGCTTCACTTGCTCTTGCGGTCACACACGAACCACGGCCAACTTTGCAAAGGCGACCTTCGAGGCGCTCAAGGCTACTTATGGCTACTTGACCCCCGACCTCTGGAAGCCCACGAATCACGTGAAGTCTCCTTTCCAGGAGTGGTCTGACTACCTCTCACAATCCAAGCAGGCTGCAACTTACTGAGCTGACCGAGACTCGCTGAAAGCTGGGAGTGGTTGAAAAAGCCGTTCATTCGTGCATCATCAGTTTTCGTAATGATAGGTGATTGACGACTCTTGTGCCAGCATGTGCATTTGACCTTTTGTCAAGAGCTAAGAGCATGTTAAAGATTATAACTTGACTGGCCTATGACAAGGCGCTTCAAACAAATGTTTTCCGCTGCCAGCCAGCCTCAACTGTTGGGGGTTGGGAACAGAAGGAGGCGCGAGCCTGAGTGATTTGGGAACAGTCGTGGTGGTACACAGTAAGTGAACAGTACGTGAAGGTCAGTAAACAGACATTCTTGTTTGATGTGCAGACCAGCCTGCACTTTCCATATATGTAGCTCCAGTGTCTCTTCCTGAAGCCCCAGAACCTGGTTTCGCGTCGGCATCGAAACTGCCTTTGCGGCAGAGCTGAGCGCACAGGTTTACCCAATCTAGCCATCCATGCAAAGGCCGGAGAGGGCTGAGTCATAGCAAAAGACAGTGTGCGGGGTCAAAGGAGGTTAGGATGTTCCTTTTCCTGTGTGCAATGTCCTCATGATCTGATTTGGTGAAATCATTTGATATCCATCAATTTCATTCTCACCAGAGATGGCTTTGTGTGGCGAAGGAGTTACAGTGGAGAAAGACCGTCCGTGTCCGCTGTGGCGGCTCAAGTCGGAGAAAGGAACCGCTTGGCCCAGCGCCATTAGCCAGGGCCCTGAATGAGAAACAGGGCTGGGTCACTGGGTGCTGGGAAATGATTGTATATCAAAAAACCGATTTGGGACAGATTTTGGGTGTATACATTATATTATATATATATATTATATATGTTTGTGCGTTTTTTTTTCTGGTTCTCAATCGTCACCTCTCTCCGCTCACTAAGGCCTGCAAGATGGGAGGAGACGGTGGATTTGGCAAAGGCGGTTTTGGAGACAAAGGAAAGGGAAAAGGCAAAAAGGGCAAGGGAAAGGGCAAGGGCAAGGGAAAGCAGGAAGAGAAGCAATGGGTGCCCATGACAAAGCTGGGACGCTTGGTGAATGATGGCAAGATCACTCAGTTGGAGGACATCTACCTGCACTCTTTGCCCATCAAGGAGCCCGAGATCATTGACCACTTCTACCCCCCTGGCTCGTTGAAGGACGAGGTGCTGAAGATCCACCCCGTGCAGAAAATGACTTCTGCGGGTCAGACCAACCGCTTTGTGTGCTATGTCCTTGTGGGTGACACGAATGGCCACATTGGCTTGGGTTCCAAGTGTGCCAAGGAGGTTGCCACGGCCATTCGAGGTGGTATCATTGCGGCAAAGATGAATCTGATCCCTGTCCGTCGTGGCTTCTGGGGTAACAGGATTGGTCTGCCCCACACAGTGCCCATGAAGGTCCATGGCAAGTGCGGTTCAGTGCGAGCCCGCTTGATCCCTGCCCCTCGAGGCTCTGGCATTGTCGGCTCCCCAGTCATGAAGAAGATGATGGCCTTCGCTGGCATTTCTGATTGCTTCACTTGCTCTTGCGGCCACACACGAACCACGGCCAACTTTGCAAAGGCGACCTTCGAGGCGCTCAAGGCTACTTATGGCTACTTGACCCCCGACCTCTGGAAGCCCACGAATCACGTGAAGTCTCCTTTCCAGGAGTGGTCTGACTACCTCTCACAATCCAAGCAGGCTGCAACTTACTGAGCTGACCGAGACTCGCTGAAAGCTGGGAGTGGTTGAAAAAGCCGTTCATTCGTGCATCATCAGTTTTCGTAATGATAGGTGATTGACGACTCTTGTGCCAGCATGTGACAGTTCCCTCTGGGCGCAACTTCTCTGCGACACTTTCCATGGTCTTGGCGAGTTCCCTGGTGTCTCTATTAAGATCACCTCGAGTCACACCCGTTGCCCACCAGTGTTTCCACGACCAGGCCACCACGCTGATGCTGCAGAAGCAGCGTCTTTCCTGCCATGTGACGAAGGAGACCCACCGCCTCCGGGTTTGGGAACCTCAGATCGCGTCGCACGTTCGACAGAAAGAGATGAGGATGAGAGTCGTCGACATGTCGGTCAACACACACTGCATTATGACCAGGAGAAGCACATGACCGGAGGGTCCATGGAATCCATGTTCAGTTCCATGTTCTTTCCACATGGAATCCCGTGAGAACCGTTGGTTCTTTTTCTTTTTCGCTGAAGGCTCCAAGCGTGAAGCCTTGGCCCGGCGCTCCAAGACCGGCCCATGACCGGTTTCGCAGAGAACCACAAGAGGATTTGGGATATATGATATCACCATTGCCATTTCCACTATGAAATGGGTGGCCTTAAGGCCCATATATATATATATACTATACTATATATATTGTAGTGGGGATGGATATATCCAGTGATGACCATGGCCTGTGATCACAATGACCGATACTTGTGATGTCCATGGTTTTTGACACTGAGGGCTCATGCCGACCCGGACCCGTACATGTTTCATCATGTTTGACAAGTCCTGCAGAGACCCCTCTGACAAGATGGAGCGACTCTCTTGAGAAAAATAGAACTCGAATTGAGAGAACGCTTCGACACAGCCACGGTGCAATTTGTTTTGTGCATACCGTGAGACATCCTGTGTTCTTTCGGTTGAAGAAATCTGGCAAGACCAGGGTCCCACCCGTCCAAGTTGCATAAAGTTGCCTCATTTGAACACTTCTCCGGCACTAAGTTTGATTGTCATGGCCTTGCTTCGAGTGGAGCTGGCCGCTGCCATGGACAGGCTAGCTCGGACTGCTTCGTTCAGTTGAAGTTGGACCTTGAAAGAGACGTTTGAACTAACCATCGGCTCTGTGGCCCCTCGCAGCGTTTGCTCACTTGGACAGAATCCCCACAGATGAGAATCCCCAAAGAAAAGGTACCTGATTGCCTGCACAAGATTGTATACCGTATACCTCTGGCACCTAAAGTCGATGAGCACTTCTACTGGTCTACTGGAGCTCTTCATTTGGACATAAACCATAAGCCATACCACAGAGCTTCAAGTTTGAGACGTTTATCCAGTTATTTGCGGCGAGCATCTTTCCACCATCTTATCAGGTCTTCTCCATTCTCATCCACACGTCATTTTTTGCAACGGTCCTTCTCACATGCAGCGACAACCTGCCACCTCCATGAAGTGAAAGAACCGCCCGCCACCGCCATGGTGAAAAACCAGAAGCTCTGGCGTGAGATTCAGCTGCAATATGCCAAGCTCTGTGAAGATGAGCTCGGCTCGGAAGTCTTTGCTCCTCCACCCTCATCGCATTCTCCCCGTGGGCCCGCGGTGGCTGCGGGATCGGAGAGCGGAACAGGCCCCGAGACCGGCGCGGTGACCGCGGTGGAAGGTGCGAAGCTGAAGCCGCTCTTCTACCGGAATGGGCTGGAACTGAAACACTGGGTTCTGACCTGCTGCGCTTTGGTCGTGATGTGTGAATGGTTAGATCGAAGTGTTTTGTCCATCGCCTTGGAATCCATGAAGCCGGATTTCCAGATGAATGATGTCCAGGTGGGACTTCTAGCTTCTTCATCCCTGTGGATTGTGCCTCTTGCTACAGGGCCTGTGGGTCGTCTAGCTGATCGAGTGCCCCGTGCCAAACTCCTGGGTGCAGGAGTCTTTCTCTGGTCGCTCTCCACCTTGGCCACAGGCCTCTCGGGCAGCTTCGAAGTGGCCATCCTCTGCCGCCTGGCCGCGGGCGTCGCCAACTGTGCAGGCTATCCCGTGGCCTTGGCGCTTTTGTGCGACCACTTTGCAGCAGAGGAGCTGAGCACTGCAATGGGATTCTACCATGCGGGCTCAGCCTTGGGTGGACTTGTGGGCTTTGCTTTGGGTGGTTCTTTGATCAGCAAGTATGGCTGGCGTTCAGCCTTCGCACTACTGGGAGCACCCCAAGTGGCGGTCTCCTTTCTCTTGCTTTGCACAGTGCCCAACAGTTATTCCTCCAAACCGGATGGCCACTGGGCCTCCGACTTGAAAGCCTTGCTGTCTCGTCCACCAGTCCGACTGCTGCTGTTGGGCGCTTTGTTAACAGGGCTGCTCTCGGGCCAGGGACGCTTCCTCTCGGCCTTCATCGAGCGAAAACACGGCCTACAACCGAGCGACATCGGGCTGGTGCTGGGTCCGACGCTGGGCGTGGCGGGCGTCTTGGGAGGCTTTGCCGCGGGACATTTCATCGATCATTGCTTTCAGAAACGCGGGGGGTCCCTCCGGGTGAATCTGCCGCTGGGCAAGAGAAGAAGCAGCACCGTCTCTGATGGAGAAATGATCTGGACACACGTTTGGAAGCAAGAAAGTCTGCATCACTTCAGAGTGCGACTAATTACAGTACTTTAATTTAAATGTCTGAATCCGATAGCTTTCAGGTTTTCTGAGATCGGTCCTGGTGTCTGTCAAATGACATTTCTGTTTTTTCTAGGGCCATTTTGGAGATGAGCCTCCGGTTCACCTTTTCAGTTCACCCACAGGAACTGCTCTTTGAGCCCAAATCCACCGGTGAACACAGGTAGATCCTTTTCGTCATCCTTCCAGACATGAAATATTGGGTGTGTATTAGAATAGGGGAGATCCTCAACCAATGGGTTTTGGACGGTTTTGGTGTATGTTCCTTCTTCCAAGAGGTCGAACTGGGAGGTCTTCCTACTTTAATGCACACCTATATGTCTTCCATTTGGCGGTGTGTGAATGAATTCATCCACATCTCCACAAAAAATTCACAGACTTCACTCTCCTTGAGGGCCTTATCAAAATGGCGGTCTACCGGCACGTCCGTTCCGCGCCGTCCTTTGACCGCGGAACGGACGGCGACTGCCCAGCCACGGCTGTGCAGTCGACCGAGGTACTTTGCCAGCTTCGGTGACGCCCTTGGGCTCCTGCTGGGCATCGCCGTCTTCGAAGCCTCGTCCTTCGGAAAGCTGGTCCTCTTCGCCGCGCTCGGTGTGCTGGCGGGGACCCTGCGGCAAGGGGTGCAGGCGGTGGTGCAAGAGGAAGGGACTGGACTACGAGGTACCTTGCAAGGGATGCTGGCCACTGGGACAGAAACATGAAGCAACAAGGTGGGTCAAGGAACCCGATGTGATGCGGTCCGTCTTTTGTGGTCGGATGAGATGCAGCGAATCGACCAGACCCAAACCGGCCATCCGGCCTTCGTCTTCGGCGAACAAAACCGCTTTTGACGAAAGAACAGAACATGAGTTGAAATCTTCTTCTCGGACATGCGGTCAGTCTGTGTAGGTGCTGGAAACCGAGGATTTGGGGAAAAATGCCTGAGTAGAACAGGTCGTATGAAACATTATGAAACGGGATCTCCCAAAAGCTGAAGTTCAAAGATTCTAAAGCTCAACTGCAAAGAACGATGCGTGACCGGTGTGCAAACAAAGAGGCTTGCTCCACATGAACCATCACGAGAACATCAGGCAACCAGTTGAGCAGAGGAGGTCTTCGTTGGCCCGCGAAGACACCAAGACATGAAGACAAAACGAAGCTCCGCTAGACTTTGAAAGCCACAGCAAGGCTTCAACTCTTCAGGGTTTCAGGTGCCGTCAGGGCCTCAAGGTTTCAGTTCCAGGCTTCAGGGCGTCATGAGGTCAGCAGAGCTTCAGGTCGCTTCAAGGAATCAGGCGATGAACGTCACTGGGATGGCCCAACCGGCGAGTCATAAAGGACCGTCCAGTGTTTGGACAGGTGACAGGTGCGAACGCTGTCTTCGGCTTTCCGGTTGAACACAACCGTTGATTAAACGTAAACCACTTTGGACAAGGGGAAGAACAATAGGCGCCATGCATCACAGTGGCAGAGGCTGCGCGAGATGTTGATGGCGTTGTGCGCTTTTGGAGGCTGGGCGCTGGTGCAGCTGCAGGGTGCTGCCAGATGTGTATGGTCGTGTCCGCTCTGGAGCCTGGGTGCTGCTGCCAGATGTTGATGGCAGTGCGAGCTTTTGGAGGCTGGGTGCTGGTGCCGCTGCAGGATGCCGCTGCTAGATGCCTGTGGCAGTGAGCCAACAAATATCTTTCGCTATCTGGGGTCTACTTTGCCGCCAAACTTGTAGTGCTGGACACACCCACGGTTTCTTTTGGAACTAGAGCCGAAGGCCGAAGGTGTCCCAACCTGCTGTGCTTTCAAGTCTTACTCCGCATGCCGGAGCCCGCCTTGCTGTTTGTTTCCGGTGCAACATGGAACCGAAATTCCGCGTCAGCTTGGTAACTGTCTGGGTCATATGAGTGGCAGCTCAGGAGACCTGCTGGTCTGTGGGCACTGGTTTGGGTCCCATTCTGGTTGGCTGGACCTCGGATTTGAGCAAGGCCTCTGCAACTTGCGATGACGCCTGCGCACTACAGCGCTTCGGGCGTCAAGACGAAGGGCGCTCATTTGGGGACATGGGCGAGTGGGGGGCGAGGATTCGTTGTGTGCTTACTGTAGCACTTCGACGGTGACATATCCATGAGAAAAATACGTAAAAGTATTGTGCAATGTATTCAAAGCACTGTGCCTCAAACTTGGTGAGCAATTGCATTCTGACCTCTTCCATAATTAGGGACCCGTAGGGCCACAATAACTCATGTTACTCGTTTGCAAACCTACTCTGTATCGCAATGGATGGTCTGCCAGACCTTGAAGACATGGCAGGGAGGCAGGTTTTGCTTGTTTCAACCTGGTGTCCATGTGTCGATTTGACAAAATTCCTGCACCAATCGCTTGGATTCGCCTGCTGCCCATCGTGGAGCAGTTCGTGCACCCTGCGACATGGATGTCCATGACCCCATGAGGAAGGCTACCTTCTCCGTGTTTCTCTACAACCACAGGATGGTCTCATGAGCACGACCTGCTCGTTGGATATTGTTTTGCGTCACTAACCTCGTCACACCCTCTCCACACCTCCCAGGAAAGCTCTCCTCTCCTTCGGCAGCGCGGGTATCACGCTGCGCGGCGCCACGTACCTCGCGTGCGCCTGGTCCTTGGAGCCGCACGCGCTGCGCGCCGAGCCGCACGCAGTGGCTGAATCGCCGGAGACGCCCACGGTGCTGGGGAAGCCGACCGGTGAGACGGCCGAAAAGGGCGATGCGTGGTGAGACTGGGGCAGACGGTTACGTTCTTGGGATTTTTGGAACAGGGGGAAACTGTGGGAAGAATCATTTCCACGCCAAAAAGGTGAGCAGACTAACATTCTAGCCACATCTAGCACAGTTCGTGCACCGTAAAGCAGCTTTGCACTCTTGCGCAACAAAAGACACCTTTCAAATGCACACACCAGATACTCCTTTCATAATCTGTCATCTTCTTTCAGTTATTAGCAGACCAGTGCGTAGCATAATCTATAGATTTTTGTATTTGTCACTCGAACCACTGAATATGTGCAACCCAGCTGAACAGTGGCAGGAACCACCGGATGATGCGAAAGAATGCCGAGGGTGACTCCGGCCTGCAACACTTGGAGGCGCCGACACCGGTCACCGAAGTCGGAGACTGGTCGCTCCTGCCGTTTCGGCCGTCCAGGTTCGATCGGCAAATCCTTGGGGAAGATACAGAGAATACAAAGACCCTACGGCCCTACTGCAGGGCTTTACTGGACTTTTCCATGATTTCTCCTCTTCCCCAAACATGGTGTGGAATTTCTCCCAATGTTCGGGCAACACATCCATCGACTTGGCAACGAAATCCAGCTTGGGTGGATTTGGCAACCATCCATCGACTCTGCCACCTTGACCCCATGACAAAGCTCGTGCAGTGTGGCCCCCGGATGAACACTAAATAACTATAAGTGTATGTCGACAGGGTGTGTCCCATTATAAATTATAGTAACAGTCGGTAAAAGATGGTAACTTTTGGGGAAAGGCCATTTCTAACCATCATCCACTGTTGCTGGCAACGGGATATACCCAAGGTCCCAAGGTTTGTCATCTCTTTTCGGACGACTTTGACGCTAAACCTGGGGTGCCCAGAGAGGGGCTACCTGGGTGTCTCACCAGGTTACAGCCAATGGTAGTCTTGCGCAGCAGCCAGTGGTACCTTGGGCTGCACACGTTGGTATCTATCCACTCAGCTTCGTTCGATTCAGTTTGGACATGCTGGGGGCAGTTGCATTCCTGTAGGTGACTTCACTCATGATCCAAACGTTCAAATCTGAATGGCTGACTTCCTCAACTTCGTTCCTGCCTGAAATCCTGAGGTGATGGCGCCAGCCATGTCTGGAATGTCCGGCACCAACATGATGAGTGGAAGCAACATGGGTCAAGTCCCCTTTGTCAGCAACGCGGCGCCAACCTTGGCTCCCACAACAACAACCACAGTGGCCACCACAACTGCTGCAGCAACGACTGCAGCAGCAACCACAGCAGCGGCCACAACGGCAGCTAGTACCACTGAAGCAACAACCACCGAGGAGTGTTTATTTTTGTCCAGCACTTTCTTGTGTTTATAGTCCTCAATCCGGTTTGGATGAAACACTCCGGGTTCTCCCCGGAGGACAAGAAAGAGGAGAAGGCCTCCAACGCCACAGGCAACTCCACAGACAAGATGCCAGGGGCATAGATCGGCCAGCAGAGACATCTTTTTCTAAGTTTTATGTGTCCATTTGTGGAGATGGCTCAAATCTCAAACAATCTCAGCCTTGACATGGGATTCCAGGGCAAAAAGACCTACCTTCAAGCTGTGTCTAGAGGTCTCAGACCCCAAACAAACCACCATTTGGCAGAAATCAGGTCCGACTCGGTCCGACCAACCCCCCCCACCGTTTCGCCGACCGAACCGAACCGCTTCGCTCCCAGGATCGTGTCGGCGGAAGCTCCACCCGTCCGGGGTGCCCGAGCGAAGACGACGCAGACGACGCAGAAAACGAGCGACGCAGACGGGAACTCCTGAGCGGCGCGGAGGACGAGGGGGTCTGGCCGAGCTCAAAGGAGGTCTGCGTTTGGTTTGGCTTTTCCATCCTTTCGTTGTCGTTCAGCCGGGAGTCTTTTCTTCCCAAAAAGAAGATCGAAGGAATTTGGCGCCGGTGGGTCCTTGCAAAGAAGTCCACAAGCGTGCGACGCTCAGGCTCAAGAAGATGCCATAGAGAAGAAGGAGGCGAGGAACTTCCATATGTTCTTTATCCACTGGTGTGGCGTGGTTTCTTTTTTCTGCTTGGGGTGGTCGTGTGAAGTAAGGAACCACGATGAACCGATGAACCATGCATATGTCGCTTCCTCAAAGATAATAGAAAGCACCGGCTGATGGTGGGAAGACATGCTTCCTTTACCGGAGCGAGTTTTTCGTTTGCATGTTGTGTAACCATGTGTAACCATGTGTAACCTAGTTCTTACTCATGTGGGCTTTTCGGAACCATTATCTTTTGCCCCCCTACTGTACCTGGAGGGTCACAGAGCGTTCCGGGGTTCATTCGGTTACGGACGGCAGTCTGCAGGCCGACCGTGATGCGAGGAGCTTGATGTGGATGGTTGGCTCTGTCCGGGGCTCAGCGGAGAAGCCAAGTGGATGCTCGCAATCATGCGCAATGCGCAATCATCCATTGCACACGACAACCAGTTTAGCAGCGGTCGTTCGTGACTGTTCATGGTTGTTCACGGGTGTGTATAGTTTTCTTGTTTTGCTGCGGATTGGGAGTTTTGAGAAGGCCTGTGGATAAAAAGCAAGAAACTGTGACAGTGATTGGAACAGTGAGCCAGCCAACTTGAGTTCTTGTGCTTGATGATCTTCGTTGGATGTGGAGTTCTTTTCTTGAGATGGAGGCCAGGGAAACACGTGAAAGCCTTAAACCTGAGTCAGAGCTTGGTGGGACAAGACGCGAAGCCTGAAGTTGCAAACATTGGAATGTGAGCCTGATGAACAGTGCTTGCTGTGGCATTAGGTGTAAAGCGCTTTCATGGTAAGAGAAAACCTTACCACGCCTTGTGCAACCGCTCAGATCTTGCAGGGAGCAATCCCAGCTGTTTAAGGTTCAATGACTACAGGTTCCAAGAGGGACACCTTCCAATCATATTCTACATACCATCGAGCAGGATGGTATATTACATACAGGGTGTATCCCATTGCCAGGCATAGTTGGTACAAGATTCTCGCTCTTTTGCGGTTTTAGGTCTTTCGAACACCCGTCATTCACTGTGAAAACTGGTGAAAGACACCATAAAGAAACCCCGGTCCCAGACGGTATGTCATCTCTTTTCGTCTCGGTCTCACGGCCGAACGGACCAGCTGTGACCGGTCCGTCGGTGCAGGGATGACGACAAGCGACCAGGCTGGAAGGATCGAAGCACAGAACCAGCTTTCGGATGATCGATTTCTTTCAATTTACCGAAGAGCAGTGAGAACAGTGAGAACTGTGCGCCTTGAGCCACGCTGATCCATTTTGTCCGTCAATATGATGTCTAATTACTTAAGTATTGAGATGAATTGAGTGCAAAACGAGGTCGGAGCACCTCTTTTTCCACAGGTGCTCGTGAGGATGATCGGCGCAAGTCTGCCGACTCTCAAGTGAACCGCTTCGCGGTTGGGGGCACCCAGTGACCGTCCACTTTGCCATTTCGGTGGTGCTTCGGCGGATGAGGAGCGCTGTTGGCAATGCCCAAGTCATGTGGCGCTGTTGGTCGCCCAATGGTTTTCAGCCATCTTTCAGTTTCAACACCAATTATATAGGTTCCCGGGAGATTCCCGGGGGGAATATACATATATATATATATAACATATATATATATATATATAACATATATATATATATTATACACATCATTATGCTATTACAAGATATTTGTACCGTACGTAATATGTATATACTGTAAGCATCAGTGAAGCCAAACCTGTTCTCCCCACGTCTCGTTGGGTCTCGCGGGGGGCACGAGACATGGCCCAAAAGCCCCAGACCAGCAGCCGCGGCTACAAGAAGAACACGCGCTCCTCGAAGCTGGAACCTCCGGGTGAGCCCCAGGCGCGGCGGTTGATCGGGTCGAAAGGAGCGGGGCGGGAGGATCCATGAGTTGAGTTGAAGCAACATCGAAAATATCTGAAGACTTCTTGGCCTGGTTGAAACATGTTGAAAGCAAACATGAAGAGACGAAGTCAAATAGTTGGTGCCAGAGAGGGGGCAAACCTATGAGGGTGTTGGATGGTTTTGGGGTATCAATATTGTGTATCGATTTGGCGCCACGTCACGGAGCGTTCGATGCACCACTTCATCATTCGAGCGGGTATAATTAGTAGACACACTTTGTACTGTGACATCAAATCAAGCTGCACCTGACATCAAGGTAACAAGAAGCTACTGGGAACAAGGGCATCGCTACGAACGGAGCAAGGACGCTACAAACGGGGCTCCTGGCCTTACGACTAGTAACAAGGTTCGCTACTAGGAAAGACTCAATTGACCTGTGGGGTGCGGATATCTGGAGTCTTCATGGGGGTGTTTTTTTCATCAAGGATTGGACGGACCACGTGGTACGAAGACGGGCACGAGGTGATATGATCTAAAAAGCATTTTGGCAGGAAGATCTCGTGGTACGTGATCTTGCTTTTCACAGTGTCCGGTGGCTATTAGGACTGTTAACGATGCAGTTGGATCCATGTCTTCAAAAGGCAAATGTTGGGGCAAATGCTCCGACATGCCAAGCGGACTTGCACCCATATCTCGGGTCTCGTGCCTTTTGCTGCCCTTTGCCACCTGTTTCTCTCATTCAATCCCACTGTGAAGTAGTTCACACACAGAGGTTGATTCATCCCGGTTCACACCCACCACGCCTATGTGAAGATCCGCACGTGCAGGCTCAAGCACCAGCGGCCGACCCCAAATCAGGCCCTTTTTGTTCGTTCGCCACACGTCGTCGGGTCGGTTGGTCGGGTCGGGCGGATGGGACGGGTCGGTGGGCGGAAAGTGGAGCCAGCCCGCCATAGATCCGACCCCTAACTCAGCAAGTTGCAAAGATCGGATCTGCTCGGTACTGGGACGAATGTGGGCATGACCCAAAGTCGCTCGAACACGGTTGGCCCCCGGATCTGAACGTTCGGACATGGTCAGGTGAGACGACCGATCGTGGGCGACCCCTGGGCGACCCCCGAGGGAATTCGTTTCGCAACTCGTTGCACC